CTACAAGGCATTCCAGCCTGGCGGAGCTTCTAAGTACTTAGAAACATTGTGTCTCCCTGTCTATAAAAGTACAAACAGCCGGTAGACCTCCTAGAGCCGAATCTGATGAGCCCTGCTCTAAGAAGCCAGACGCAGATAGTTTTCAGCTTTCTGGGCCATGACATCTGTGTTAACTCTGCTCCTCCACTACAGCACGGAGCATCCGCAGGGAATACACGAGCAAGTGGGTAACCCCGGGCCCACTAAACTTCACTTACAGATAGAGTTTGCTCTCCTAGGCTCACGTAGGAAGGAACCAAAAGAGAGGAATGAAGCAAACACCAAACAAATAAACAAACAGACAAAAAGAGAGATACCCTTCTAACCCAGGAAGCCAAGGGGATGGAAGTCGCTGACCAATTTAGATCTCCACACTCTGAGCAAAAGTTCAAATCCTTACAAGTTTTTTTTTGCCGGTCTTTGGGGATTTGGGGACTTCAGTGTTAACCAGTAGCATTCTGTGGTTGAGGTGCAATGCGGTGCTCCTTCAGTGAGTTTGATGTCCATCAGAGACCAACTCAGCAGGCCAGAGAAGTCTCACAGCCCAGAAGCTGCTGACTTGGAAAATAGCCTTTTGGGGCTCAACAATGGGATCTAGGGTTCAGGAAGAGTCATACTAGTAGTCTGCTGAACAGTCTCAGAACAAGAGGTTAGACCGCCACCCCCTATGGCTCAGATGGAGGATCTACTGGAGTCCTGAGCTAGGCAGGCAGAACTTAAATAGAAGTCAAGCTTGGTCCTCTTGGCCAGGTCCTTCTTGGACCCCAATCATGTAAGACATGAACTTGTGGACTCTATAACCTGCTCCAACAGGCGTGCAGGCAGGCAATCTAGGAAGAAATTTGCCTATCTCCTTTCTAGAGCCTCAACTAGGGAAATCCAACATCCCTGCAGACTAGCTGGGGAGAGAGATGGGGTAAAAGACATGTTCTCTCACACTTCTGAGGCCCAACACCAACATCAGGCAAGTATGTATTCACTGAACCAGGTCCCTTCCAGAGCCTCTGGAATAGCATTACATTGGCCACCATCTTGACCTCTGGCCTTTCTTGTCTAAGGAAATACCATTTATGTCACAATGGAAACTGCTGTTAATAACTCACAACTTTCAAAGTTTTACACTACACAAATATATTGCAGTGGACCTGTCCCCCACCAGTCTCTTCTCTGTCCCAGCTTCATTTAAAAGAACAAGTCTAGCCCATGGTACTTCACTGCCAGGAAGAAGGAAAATAAGAAACAGGAAGAAATCAGGGGCAGAGACCCCACCCCCACCCCGTAGTGTTATCCCCAGGTCTCCTGGATCCCCTGCTCTTTCTGGCAAGACCCCCACTCCTGAATCAGAGGAGAATTCTCCTCTCACCCACCCTCTGAGTTCTGTAGTCAGTCAGACCAGGGTTGCCCACACCTTTCCCATGTCTTTCTTGACTCTTGCCAGGACCCCAATCATAGGAGACATGAACCTGAGGATCCGGTAGCCTGCTGGACACTTGACAGGGCTGATTCAGCTGTTGCTGGCTCAGTTTGCTCAGGAGGGTCAAGTCACCAAGTGGGCTTTGGGACAGACATATTGACCTCAATCGTAGCAGTTGACGTTATGTTGACATGCTGAGGTCACAACTCACCACATACAACAGAGACAAGCCATGCCCACCCAGCAGTGAGGCTATTTTTTTCCCTTCAACACATAAAACCAGAATCTTTGTTTCTGTGTAACAAAGCAAAAAATGTTCAAGGCATCAATGCAAAGATGCCATCAGCAAGGGACCATTTTGTGGGTTTGGAATGGGAAGATATCGTTCCATGCGGACTCTAGAGACGGACACCAACAAGACCTGGGGTCTCATTCTATACTGGACCCCAAATCTGTCCATTCAGACTTTGTGTGCCAGACGTAATTGCAAAGACCTTTTGGTAATTTTCAAATATTAAATCCACCGTTCAAGGGAAGATTTGTTGGCAGGGAGAATTTTCTAAATGTACTGAAAGCATTAAGAAACAAAACAAAACAAAACAAAACAAAAACCCCAGTCTTGCAAAAGCCTTTGAGTCTGGCAGCCTCAGCATTCAGCTGAGCATATAGTCCAGTAAAGGTGGAGATGTTGATGATGATGATATGATGAAATGTGTGATTTAGGTGTGTAGGCTCTATTGTGTTTGTAGTAAGAAAAAAAAACGAAGGAAGAAACAAAACACCTCAAGCCCTCAAATTTTGTATTCAATGTGAATAATAAGACAGGCAGAAATACAATAAAGGAAATGCACTCAGGGTTTTGGAAAGGAAAATTCAACTGCCACTCAAACAGTTTATGACTGCTATTTCACCCCCATGGTGGTAAGAAACCAAAGGGCTCTTCGCCACCAGGAATCCACGGGACAGATACATTCCTGGGATAACACTGTGTGACCCTAATCTACAACATCTGTAAGATCAAGGAAAAACAAAAGAAGAAAAAGCACCAGATCCCTAATTTGCATCTCCCCCTTCCCAACATCCCCCACACAAGCACATAGAGAAAACAATCCTTGGGTATTTGAAAACACCATGGGGTGGGGGGTGGACCCTGGTGAACAAGAGAAAAGTACCCTTTTATTCCAACCAGGCTTTATTTAAACAAAAATAGAATTTTTCTTAAAAAGAAACTCACTTTTGATTCAAGCCATTTGTAGTTAGTTACTGTTCAATATATGGCATTCGTTTGCCTTAAATAAGAAGAAAAATTCTAAGAATTTGGAAAACTAACCAAGTTTAACACTCTTGAGACTGGAAAAATACATTCTCAGGATAGTTCTTCCAAAAATGTCCTGTAGGGGGCACTAGAGGGGTATGGTTGAGGCTGACTTGGGAAATCACAGTCATTTCTGGTAAAAGTTGTTTGATGCAAGGAATGTCCCAGCCTGGTACAGTTGGCAAAAGTTCACTCTGGGGAATTTTGTGTGTGTGTGTGTGTGTGTGTGTGTGTGCGCGCACACACGAAAAATGTGGCAGGGGGGAAAAAAGTTGGTCTGATATTCCCTGATCCAGAAGGAAATGTCCTTGACTTACTCTCACAAGTCACAGAACAGATAGCTGCCTTGGAAAAGTTCCGTGTCTTGTTTTGTTTTGTTTTTCATTTGAAGGGGGCCTGGCTGAAGAAAACAAGTTATGAAATGACCTACGTTTGTGTAACTGGCTGGATTGCGTAATGCCAGGGCCCTGAAACCGTAACAGCCAAGGAGCAAGGCACAGCACATATCTGGAGGTGTTGTCCCAGGAAAAAGAAAATCACAAGGAGGAGGTACATCCACTATTTCCAAGAAAATTAAATTGCCAGTGATTAACCTTTGAGATTGAGATTATAGCTACAACAGGAAATATTTTTCATGTTTCCAGTTCCTGCCATATACAGAAGCAGAGATTCAACAAAGAGCTGTCTGCCCACCACCCCACAGGTCAGTGGGACTCAATACTAAGACCTTATGAAGCTAGACAGAGGGGGGAAGTGCTGGACAGCAAATTTATGGGGGATACAGGACCCCACAAACAAGGAGAACAGGGACAAATAGTATCCACTTGCTCAAGGGAAAATCAGGAACATCTCACAGTGATTGGTCCACTGTGCTGCCATAAAGGAGGAAGGCCCTGTCACTAGCTGCCAGGAAAGCTTCCCCATGAAGAAGGCTGGGAGCAGAGCTGATTACAGACTTTATCTGCCATGTAATAAAGTTACCTTGAGCCCAGATCAGGGTGGGTCGTATCATAGCACAGACTTGGGAAGTAACAAAAGCAAAGGCCTATCATTGGGACCACAGAACAGTTTTGTAGAAAGCCAGAGCAGGGAGGGGAAAGCCCTCCCCCCCAACCCCGTTCCTCATCTCCCACCCACCGGCAGGGAGTGGAAAGGCCAGGCTGAGAGTTGGCTTAAGTGGCATTACCTTGCCAACCCCTCTGGTTTGAAAGACTTCTTGCTCATGCTGCTAAGCAGAATGGGCAGCCGGACCTGAGAATCCCATGCACTGGTTGTTGCTAATTGCAAAATCCTCATGTGTTACAGCATGCTAGGAATTAGCCAACAGCTGCTTTTTGCTTGGGTAATGAGGCCCCATTACACACTGCTGGACGGAGCTGTCTTCCTTCATCCGAGCATCGGTTTCCTGTCTGATTTGCTTCCAAAACAGGGAATTGCCTCCGCTCACATCCTGGGCTCACAGCCCTAGTGACACAGATTATCCAGTTGGGGCACTGATGTCCGGCCTGACTTCCCATCCAGGCCCCAGAGACTGAGCGAAGCCAGGCAGGGAGATTGTACTATGTCGATGCTCACTGTTTTGGTCTCATTGGTGGAAGAAACAGAAGAAATGCTAAGCCCCTATGTTGATTGGGAAGGAGAGGTACATGGGGTGGGGGGGTCATTGAATTTGAAAATAGGGGGACAACAGATATAAAGACTCTAAACCCATTGGTGAATGATGTTTCACCAACTATACTGGGATGCATACATAACCAACTACTTTTCAGATAAGATTTTGGTGTTCAGTAGTAAGAGTCCACTGACTGCCCCCTCAGTGCTCAGACCAAGCTATCTCCAGTGGGTGCTTAGTAGGTATGGGGGTTGGAGGAGCAACAGAGAATATACAGGAAAGCCATTTGGAAGGACTCGCCATTCATGGGACATTACTTTGAGAGATGGCCCTCTTGTCAGATGACAAAGAAAGCCATAGTTTTATTATGTTTCCCAGCTCAGTCCACCCCTCCCTGGAAGACCCCTGACCTCCTGTCTGGTTGACTTCTAGAGGTCAAAGACAAGGCCTATGGAGTAACTCTTGCTGCAGCCAGCTTGGCTAGGAACTCCCAGATCACGGCTGAGGTGGGCTTCAGGTGGCAGGAGACTCGTGAGTTCATGCAATTCCCACACAAGATCGTGTAAGTGGTTCCTGTGATACAAGTCAGGTATCCCCCACCCCCACCCCCACCGCCCACCAATACCTGCTTGGTACCTACAGAGACATAGATTACAGGCACAATCCCTCAGTGCAAACCAGTCTGGCTGCTTTAGAAAGAGATGTTTTTCTACTTCTAAAATCATTCAGGAGCCCAAGGGATGTCTCTCTCTCCCACCTCTCTGACAGCTTCTTTGCTCCAGGTACCCCCAAGCCCCTCAAGGTTCTGCTCCGGGGGGTGGGGGAGTACAGGCTCCTGTCCAACCTTTACCGGAAGCTGCAGGGGGGGGGTCACAGGAGGTGTCAAGAGCCAATCAAAGCCAGCTTCTTCTTTCCTGACCTTCGCACCTAATTCCCAGAGGCAACCCTCGTCCTCACTCTCAATCACTTGAAGGAGCCTAGCCTTGTTTCTGAGTCCCCAATCCCTTTCAGAAAACAGCTAAGACCGAAGAATAACAGAAGAAAGGTTAAAAAGCGTCCCCCCCCCCGTTCTCCCGTAGGGTCCTTGACGGTTGGGAGGGGCTTAGGGGGAGTAAAGATTCCTTGCCTATCCACTACCTAGAAAGAGGAAGGTGAAGAGAGGGAGAGCGGCTCGATAGGCGGCAACAGGCTTCCCGGAGGGGACCTGTAATTTCAGGAGCTTTTCTGGAAAATTAAGTAAGAAAAGGGGGAGAAGGTGTCGTTGGCTCTTAAAGCCCACTCTCTGCTTGTTTAAAAAAAAAAGTGGAAGGGTGGGTAGGGCGGAACAGAACAAAACCGCACAACTTACAGCGGTGACCCCTAAGTATTTTTCTAGCCTGGCCAGGAAAGGGAAAAGACGGAGGTTGGGGGTGGAGGCCGTGGGAGCGAGAAGAGGGTAGGAGTCTGCCCGCGCCGCCAGGTGCACCCCGGCCCGCACGTACCTGCTGGCCGCCGCCACCGCTGGAGTAGGACTCGGCGTGCGCAGGAGAGCCGCTGCTGCCCCGGGACGAGGTGTCAAAGTTCCCGGGATAATCCTGGTACATGATCCGCGGTGGGGGCCGGAGAGGAAACAGGGTGGTTTTCTTCCCCGCCCTCGCCGCGGCCGCGCACAGTCTGCTGCGCGCTCGCTGGTCCACCGGCCCGGCCGCGGGCTGGGCTTTTCGCTCCCGGGCTGTCCCCCAACCCCGGCGACAGGAGGCAGCGACACTCGGGAAATGACCCCCCCCGACCGCCGCGGACCGCACTTCGTTTCTGCTCTGCAAGCTCCGCGGAACCGGTTGTCCACCGGGTCCCTCCCTCTAAAAAGTCGGAGCGTCCCTCGGTCCCTCCCCTGCGCGCGCCCTTCCGCCCCCGCGCGCAGCCGAAGCTCTGCCGGGACCCACGGGCTGGAGAAAAATGGGCAGCGCGAAAAGACTAGGAGCCCCGCAAATGTCGCTTGGCAGCTCTCGGGGACTCCCTCCCCGATCTCCCAGGGCGCCAAAAGGGCGAAAAAGAAAAGCCGCGGGTTGGGAGAAACTTCTGTTTCCTCCTTTTAGAGAAGGAGCCCGAGAATAAACTTCCTGTGGCCAACTCGCCGCCTGAGTTTCCCGGCGACTCGGACACTTGACTTAGGACAAGGCGGTGAGCGCCGGTTCAGCGGCCCCGATCGCGCCGGTGGGACAGCGCCCGTGGGGTTCCAGGCTGAGCCGTGCTGAGAGGGACGTGGCTCCGTGTCGCAGTGACCTGCACCCCGTGCCGGCTCCGGGACAAGCCAGCGTCGCGCGTCTCGCCTCGCTTCGCCCTCCCCTCTCTCTCCCCCTCTTTCTTGCGCTCTCTCCCTCTGTCCCTGCCGAGCGCCGCTTGCTGTCTCGCTCCGAGCCCCTGCGCTCTGCCCGAGATGAGTCACTACAATGGCACGAGTTCAACTCCACACTCTTTATTCTCCAGCCCCGCACCATGTGGATCCACTCCACTCACGTCAACCCCCTAGACTCCACCTTGCTGGGAGGAGCGCTAGAGGCGGCGGGGGAGGAGGCCTGGGACGAGGAGGAGGAGGAAGAGGCGCGGGAGGGGAGGGGAGGAGGCGGGCGCGGCGCTCCCCTCCCGGCTCCGCTCGCGGTCGCGCTGACGCCAGCCGCACACCCCGCGCGAGGAAGGCGGGCGGCGGGGAGGATGGGAGCCCGCGGCCCTCGCACTATGGGGGCACCGAGGCCACCCGCGTTCTTGCCTATCTCCTCCACCCCCCTGGGGCGCAGCGCCCTTGGTCTGTTCCATTGGCGCACGTTGCCAAAGATGGTCATTTGCGTTAGAGGACGCGAGTGCGGGTTTCCTCGCATTCGGGTGACGTGGAGGGAGAGGGATTCCCTCGCCTGCTCCCTAGTGCGCCCTGGCCTGCCTCCCTCCTCCCCCCATCCCCACCCCAAAAGGAAGGGGCTTGGGGAGGGGCCCCGAAAGCGGCCGCGTGGGCCTGAGCTCCGGGTTCTGAAAAAAAAAAAAATCGCAGCCTGAAGACGAGACGGGCGGCTCAGTGCGGCGCCACCGCGAGGCGGAGAGCCCGGCGCGCAGAGCCGCTCGCGGGGAGGGCGCGGCCGTGCGCAGTCGTCCGCACCCTCAGCGGCGCCGCCCGGTGCAGCGGGCGTCCTGGGCGCACCGGGCACCCGCGCCACCCTGCGGCCGGGTCTTGGCGGGGTGCGGCGCGGCGCCACCAGGCCGGGCTGGCCTGCCCATTTTTTACTCGGAGCCTGGCTGCCCACTGCTTCCCCTTTGTGTGTGTGTGTGTGTGTGTGTGCGCGCGCGCTTGGTTTTTTCTTTTTTGTTTTTGTTTTTATTTATTTAGTTTAGGCCTTCCAATTAATTTGCTAGAAGTAGTATTGAAGATGAAATTAGCTAGCGAGACATTCCGGGAGTCCTCTGTGCTAGACAATTAGGACGCATCTAATGGCAGTAACTAGGCCTTAAAAGCAAATCGGTTTGTTTAAAAAAAAAAAAAAAATGGGGACCGAGAGGTGTGCCCCAAGTTGCCTTGAGCTGTTTTGGAGCAAAGTTCAGGGCGCGCGTGGCCGGACTCCTGGCTCTTCCCGCCTTGCTGGGTGGGGTGGCACTCAGGGTAAAGAGCGCAGGCCTTGGAGTATGAACGCCTGGCTATGCTATTTACGAGCTGTGAGATTTTGGGCGAGTCTAGAGTCTCAATTTCTCTATGTAATGAAAGGTTTGGAGCAGGACGACCTTCTAAAGCTTTCGTCTGCTCTGGATAGACAACCATCCCCAGAGAAGGTACAATGTGTACAGATAAGCACTGTACCAGGAGTTGAAGAACTCTTTCTTTTGAGGCAGGGTCTCAGGTAGCACAGGCTGTCCTAAAATTCGCTATATGTCAAAGATAAGCCTCTATCTCCCGAGAGCCGGGATTACACGCGTGAAACAACGTTTTTAGCCATCCTTAAGCAGTACATCTGTATCCTTAAGCTTTTGAGGAGTGAATGGGAAGATGGGTTGTTGGGATTCCGCTGAGGATGTTGAAGCGCTATGCATCTCCCATACTACATCTGGGGTCCTCACTTTCCTTATCTGTGAAGTGGGGGAGTTACTAGGAAAGAAAAATAAGAGCCGGGAACTCGAAGCTTTCCCGGGGCTCTATATAAAGCGCTGGCGTTTCCGGGACGGCTGGCGGCATCTGGCTGCCCCAAGGGCCCCAAGATACGGTAATCCCAAACAATACTCGGGGTCATTGTTTACAGTTATAAAACACATTCTGTCCTGAGCTCCATCCCCAAGGACTTGTGCGCGTGGTGAGCCGAGGTGTCCAGACTCCTTGCGTTTCTACAGCTGTCCTCCCAGCAGAATGTGCAGCTCTGCAGGCTGGCGAACGGGGTGTGGGGCAGGCGTACACGCACGCACCAGCCGTGGGTGCCTGGCCCATTCCCCCCCCCCCCTTCATCCCTGCGTCCTGGCCTGCCTGGGTGTTTACGCGCCTCTCTCAGCAGGACTGAGTAAATGCAGCCCTTTGACGCAAAACGGATCAGCCCTTCCCCAGCCCCAGCAGCAGCAGCAGCAAAAACCCAGAAAACTGGAGGTGGGGACGGGGGCAGGGCATAGAAAAAAATCGTGACACTTTCCCACTCGCCTCGCCCTGTGCTGTGCGGGTCCTCGATAGCCCTGGAGAAATCGTGGAGGGTTGGGGGTGAGCAACTGGAGATGCGTCTGGGGTGCGCAGGGGCCTCTCCGAGGAACCGCGTGTCACGGCAGCACGAATAGACTTTTGGTTTTCCTTCGAGCCTCACGGGCTGTCCGGCCCTCCCCCAGCCCGCATTCAATAATCGTGAGCTTCTGGGTCTCTCCCACACAGTCCTTCCAGTAACGCGGGGCGGGAGTGGGGGGAGGAGGGGGAAGGGGAACACAAGCTTCCTCCAAGGCCTCCACCATCCCGGGCGCGCCCAGCCACTAGCAGGCGCCGCCGGGAGCGCGCCTTCGGGCCAGCGCAACCTCGCGCCCTCGCCCGCCCCCGCCCGGACCCGCTTCCCCAGTCCTTTCCTTTCTTGTGGCTTCCCGTAAAGCCCAGCAGCCCCCAGACGTCTGCAGAGCATCACGGAATCTGTGCTGATGCAAGTCGCCGGCCTCCCTTTGGTGCGCCCCGGCCCGCCTGCGAGCGCTTTGATCCCTGCCTGGCCCTGCTCCGGAACGTGAGCTGGTTTCCCGTGCCTGCCTGGAGAGGAGACCTATGTTCCACAGCCTAGGCCACCTTTCAGTCCTGTGGCACCAGAGGCAGAGCTGTCCGGGCAACTGGCCTCCCTTGGTTCAGTGGCTGCTTGAAGTTTGACCTATCTAAACCCAGTTCAGCGGCGCCTACGTGGGAAGACATCCCTGGGGGCACGGGGTTAAAAAGGGGCTGGAGTAAGACGCGGAGAACAGGTATTAAGCCCCAGTGTCTCGAATCTTAAGGAAAACAGATACTGTCGCTTGTAATCCCCACAACAAACATTTGTCATTCCCAAGTGTCAGTTCAAGCAAGTAAAGCCAAGTAACTTGTCCTAGGGAACTGGCCAGTGTTTAATAACAAGTTGGGAGTACAGCAGCCTCTGACTGATTCTGCCTACCTACCCCTTCCGCCTCCCAATACCTACATCCTACCAGAATGTCTTTCTGGCTTTCTAAGCATGGACTTCATTTGTTCGTGGCTTTAACTGACATTTAAAAGAGCTCCTTCTTTCCCTTCTGAGTAAACAGGTGGAGTGAAGGAAGGGAAGAGAGACGCTGTGGTGTGTGTGGGGGGTGTGGGGAGGGAGGTAATCTGGACTGATTCTTCATCGACTCTCTGGGTGTCTGGACTCTCCCATTCCATCCCTGCCAGTTTCCTTGTTATCCCATCCAGCCCAGGTTGCCCTTGAGAGACACCTTGGATCTTAGATTGATTGTCCCTCTCACTGGCCCACCCATCGGAGCACGGAGCAGTTCGTGAAGACCTGTCATACATGCGGCTTCACTTGTCTTACAATGTCCTCAGGAAGAGCTCGGTCAGTTGTGGACCAGACTCAGGATTGCTGAAGCAAAGCCAAAGAATGAAATGGCAAAGCAGCCTCCTCAGCCTGTGGATGTCTGCAGCTGAACGCAAAGCCATCTCCCATGACCTTAAACCCAGTGTTCTGCCAACCTTGACAGTGTACAGATTCTACTCCTTAGTGATAGCCCTGCCTCCCACACTGCTGGGGGAATCTGCAGTCATAACATTATAGTAAACAACACATTGGATGGTCTGTTCTTATTCCTGAAAGCATTCATGTTTGAAGCCGGAGTCTTGGTTAGGGTTTCTACTGCTGTGCTAAAACACCATGACCAAAATCAGCTAGGGGAAGAAAGGGTTTGTCTGGCTTACTCTTCACATCACAGGAAGTGAGGGCAGGAACTCAAGGCAGGAACCTGGAAGCAGGAGCTGAAGCAGAGGCCATGGAGGAGTGCTGTTACTGGCTTGTTCTCCATGACTTACTCAGTCTATTTACCAATATGGTCCAGGACACACACACACACACACACACACACACACACAGAGCACAGAGCCCGGCCTGGTGTGCCTCGGTGACTGGGCCTACCCACCCCAATCTTAAATCAGAAGAATGCATTAGAG